TTAATGCGCAAAAAATCTTCCCTGTGAGCTTTAAGACCTCATAATGAGAATTTTTACACACAACATTCTTCAAATTTTTTTTCCATTATGAGGTGTTCAAAACCACTTGTTACTCTGGGAGAAGAAGTGAACCAAATTGTTTCTGAAGTGGATGTACTAGTTTATATTTGGCGATTTGATCCTATAATTTGTTTGTGTAATTAAAAATTACTAAAATCATACCCAAGATGTGCTCATTCATCGATGTAGTCGTGCTCTGACGATACCCATACATCTATAATTATAACAGATTTTCATCATTATTGATGAAGTGTTACACAATTCGGAGTACGAGCAAGCCGGGAAATTTAGGAACGAGTGAGAGGGTAATTGAAATGCGGGATTGCTGTTGCATCTCGGCGACACAGTTCGCGGGCCAGTCGTAAGGTGTAATTGGAACTGAATAAGGAAAAGGCAGAATCAAAGTAATAAAAATTTGAAGTTATGTGGTTTGCGTGGTACATGTGATAGGGAGGGGGCAGGAAGACTCGAGTAGCCTTCCTCTTCCGTTTTGAGGTGAACAGTGTGGGGGAGAAACGAGGTGGCAGATCGGGTACATTTGCTTGGCTGAACCTATCGGTGATCGCTCCTTGTGTTGAACTGAAAGGAATGATGATTTGACCGAGATTTTCGTGTCCAAAATATATATTACATTCTGGAGGAGGGGGAGGGGGGCGAGTGCGCTGAGCCGTGGCGAAGTGTGCGGGTGTGATGGCATCCTAACAATATCTATTTTGAAAATTATTATGTTGTATAGTTTTCATCTTTATCCTCCTCCTCAGGGAGCCACGACGGAGCAATGATTCCTTCTTCACCACCCCATGCGTCATGTTTCCTTCGCCTAAGCAGCTCGCGGAAGGAGCGGATTTAGCCAAGGTTTATGTTTATGGAAGTTTGCAAGAAAAGTCAAAAATTTTTTGTGGACTTAAGCGGAATTTCTCAGATTTGCTTAAAAATATGAATGATTAGATCACAGGTTTCTTTGCAAGCAAACATGGGAGTTGCGACTCAGAGCTAAACTGAGTTACTTTGATTATCAGTCTGAATCCATTGAAAAGCGACGACGCATCCAATGCGTCCAGGTCCGCCTAGATAGGATATTTTGCTAGCCTTGCTCACAAGCAAGTACTCAGCGTTTGACGAACGGTACTCATAAGGAAAAAAAATGAAAAGGCTTCTTCGCGGAAAGGCCTCTTCGAAGACAGCCGATTATTTGTTTCCCTTGTCATTTGTTACTAACGGGCCTGGCATCATTGTACTAGACTTCTAAATGAATCCGTGTAATATAGCTGTGTTATCGAATTCGCACAACAATTGCAATGTGAATTTAAGTGATACACAGAAATGCATGAAAATGAGTAATTTTTGTTTTTTTGTTATCGTGTGATGTATTTTGGCTTCAAAAATACTTTATCTGTGTCTAGCTTTGCATTTTTCGATTACATACTTCATGCTTGAAGCAGCCAATTCACCACTGATTGGTATTCTGAGCGCTCTTCAATGATGTAATCGACAACCGTGTCATTTTCTTGCATCATTTCGTGTTTGCTTGAATCGACGTTGTGCTCCCTGATAACAGTCAGTTTTCTGACGATCCTGGCATTCCTTTTTCCTTTCGAAGAGATTACCGGTTCAGTGATTTTTCAGACAGTAGCACTTTGATAAAACTTTAGCCCGTTACGTAAGATTTAACGATAAATGTTGAGCGTTACCCCCTCGTTCTCAAGCTTTATCATTCCCAGATTACGTTGACCTATTTTGGCGTCTCAAAAGCTTTTTCATTTATTCAGTCAAATCTTAATTATTTTTCACCCTTACTTTTGGTCAGTACTGATGAAATTGCAGATTATCAGCAGAGCAAGCGAGATTTTCCAAATGCGAGAGCTACGACAGCGCAAGAATTCGCAGGGTAAATTTTTCAAAAACCACAAAAAACACGTCTTACCGTGTTGGTTCGTTTTTTAAAACTAGGCCTTCGCGCAGACACGGCAAAACTATGCATTCAGGAAATAACGTATTTGCAGCTATGCAGCACAGTCTCGGCTCTGTATGATGCATGCGCCAACAAAATACATGTACCACAACTTGATCGAACAGCTTTGGAAGCACTGTTGCAGTACCAGGATTCGGTCTGGCGCAATCATCCGGATCCACCTTTGCAACTAATCCTCGATCGGCCAACTTTCGATGTGGTTGTTATCGTGTCGAAGCTTGTTGAACAAGTCTGGTTAGCATTCTTTTTTTTGTTCCCCGTCTAAGTACCTCGGTCTCGCGTGCAGGGACCTAATTTTCCAACCCTCTTCCCTCTTTAGCCGCTGATGGGATCAACCCTTAATTATTTCTGCATAAATATTGCCAAGACCTTTCATACGATCGATATGGACAATACTTACGATGCTGTGCATGGAAATTAAAGTTAGAATTTATCGGTGCTCGTTGCAGCTAAATTCAAATTTCTTCCCAAAATTCAAAAATACCTGTAAATCCTTATAAAGCGACATCTTAATGTATGGAAATATACATATCAAAAATACTTAAACGATCCGGGTAGTCCATGTGAAATCTCACGTCAGTGATGTTATCGGGATTTCTTCATTTGTCGGGCGCAGCTCTGTCAGACTCTTCAACCTAGCGTAGTTTTGGCTATTAAGCCTGTTCGATAAATGTGCACCACCTTCTCGGCAACCGCTGAATGGTCGTTTGTTTTTTTTTGCCAGTGCCACTCGAAAATGCGCGACTTCTACCAGTTATCGCATCCATAAAATACTGTCTTCAGCACCGTAGTACTGAAGAGTGAGTATAGCTTTTCCTGTTCAATTTTGAGATCATCGATAATGCTGCGAAATTTATGCTAACCGGCGACGCTTCGGCGTGAAATCTGTGACTGCAGACTGAGACACATGTTTACTTTCTCACCAAGTGAGATACAGTTATCAACTTCTAGTAAATCAATAACGCCTAACTACAATCTTGCCGCGAGTATAACCATTCTTACGTTGAGCTCTTGCAACATCCCATTTGTTTCGTGAGGGCTGTTCGCCATAAGAACAATGTAATTTTTATCAATGAAATGTGATTTTTTCACTTTGCGACTCAATAGCTTCTTGGAAAAATTCATTAATGATAACAAGCTGCGCTCCTTTGCTCACCAGTAATGGATGTCGCTAACCACTAAAAGAAAATGACCACTTGGTAGTCTTTGATGAACCTGCATATTTGCTCCGTCAGAAAGTATTTCTGAGCCTGTATAGGGGTATCGTTATATTAGTATGTTGTTGAGTGCCGGATACATCACTAACACTGAGTTTCCACACGAACTGTCCGGGCATCTCGATAATCTTGACGATCTAAAATCGCTTTTTTAGATTTATAAATAATTTTTGCCATCAACAAATTCTGTATGCACACTTTTTAAGGGAAATCTATGAGACATTTTAGCTGCAATATTAGCAGCACAATTTGAAGTGATCAAATATTTACAGTTGAGGCAGAAAAAGTGTTTCATAATTTAATGCCGGTTTTTGCCTCCAACATATTTTGCCATCAAAATATCATACCATCGATTGCGAATTCTTTAAATTTTCTCTCACTTGAAGAAAGATTTCTTGTTTTTTTTTCGTTGCTGGAAAACTATTCACAGAAAAGAAGAAATGTTTTGCTAAACCGCTTTTTCTTTCTTTTTTTTTTTTATAGAAGCTGCGCAACAAACATTGCCCGAAAGAAAAAGGGCAAAAACTGTCTTTTCAGTGATTATTGATGGTCTTGCTCTTTTGCAAAAAAATAGTCTTTTTTCTTACCAAACTGTATTTACGTGCTAAAAATTTCTGAAAAATTCTGACCTGGTCAAGTGAGGCAGTGGGTTAGACAATGATGAGGCAAGGCCTGCTACGACTAACCTGACGGTTTCAAGCAAGTCACGAAAATACATGCTCTATTTAGTCCAGCAAAATCTTGATTTGCGGTTTGTACACTGGCCAGAGCAGTGGGTGGTATTTATACTAAAACTGTTTGAAAAGCACTTTAGTCTTTGTCTTCGATAGTTATTTCATCAGGTATCGTGAAGTGGTACAAAAATAAGGGAGATTTTGAAAGCACATCCTTTCTCAGGCCAGTACGTTTCGCTCAGCAAAAATGAGGACTAGCAGTGAGCGCTCAAAGGTTTTTTTGCGTTTTTGCTGTGCAATGCAATGGTATGGCGCTGCTACAGTGGGTAATAAAGCGTATTGTCGAGGCATGCCGTGCGTATTTATGTGTGTGCATGTGGATGGGAGAACTCCATCACCTATTTTCAATTCAGCAACCAGAAAAGTTGTAAATTTTGTGAGCTTGTTCTCAGTTAAATACACGCCATCCTTACTACCTGTAGTTATCTTTCAAATCCGTTTAGATCTTACGTTCGTACGCCAAATAAATATGCAAATTTTGTGCCAGAAGAATAATTTCGAGAACTAGGCAAGCTAGAAAGTTGGAATTTCTCACTGATATTCCCTCTCCATGGGTGAGCTAAAGATTTCAAAATTCAGCTAACGCGCACTCCTAAAAAACGACATAGAGCCACGCCAAAGTCCCCAATTGGTACTGTGGCAGCTCGAAAACTAGTTAGAAAACAGCAGCCAAAAATTTGTTAGGATGTTTATCATCTATATGAGAAATATTTTACCGGAAACAAATTTCGATTTGCACTTGCGACATGATTTACGGTACTTCAAAGTTATTTGAGTGAAGTGGATATTTCACTTGCCTGACAAGCTGCGATGGTATAACTTTGTGTGATTTAAATGCAGCTTGGGGACTAAATTCCCTTTATAAAGCATGACAAATACTCAATTTTATCGCGTACTCAAAAACGGGTGCATTTGCGGATTTCTTAACCCTTATCCTTCACTCTCTCTGTTTTGCAAATTTGCATTTTCCAATGAAAATCGAAAAAGCGACCGGATTTCATGCAAAA